ACGCACGCACGCACGCACACGCCACACACACACACACACACACACACACACACACACACACACACACACGCACGCACACACACCCACATCACAAACGCCTCCACCCCTGAACAATCTACGGTCCCTGGCTAGGTAAATATCACACACATAACTACGTGACAAGCGTTGCTGTGGGGGCGACTCTAACACCAGCCAATCACGGCTGGAAATCTTATTATCTTATTATATCCTATAATTATCTAGTTGTTATCTTATATCTTGTGTGTAAATGGAAGCGAGTGAAACCTACATCCGCTCACATAACAGCAAACATGAGATATAATGAAGAAACATACGCTAATACGATCAGATATCTTCAGGCGTGAATAATAATAAATTAATTATAATATAGATAATAATTAGATATATTAGATAATTACATTAGATAATAGATTAGATAATATTATATTAGATAAATATATTAGATAATATATTAGATAATATTATATTAGATAAATATATTAGATAATATATTAGATAATAATAGAATATGTTATTATTCACTCCTGATATCTTATTATCTTATTCCTACTGTTATGTGAGGGACTGATAGTCTTATGCGCTCCGGAGTACACACAAGATAATAAGATAATACAATTACATAACAATACAGATAATACAATTACATAATAATACAGATAATACAATCAGATTCTAATGCCAAGAGGACGTAAACCATATTGGACATATGTCTTCTTGTTAATCAATATCTTATCAGTATCAATATCAATAACAATCAGTTATTATCAATACCAATATCAATTAGTCACATCAATATCAATATCGATCTGTTATTATCAATACCAATATCAATATCAATCAGTCACATCAATATCAATATCAATACCAATCAGTTATTATCAATACCAATATCAATATCAATCAGTTACACTATGGTTACATCAATCTTAAAATCGTATCTTATGAGATGCATGAGGAGTTTTACGTGTTATTATTTGCAACATAAGCCGAGCATCCATGAATAACAGCATCTGTGTGAGGGAGGTCTGTCGCAACAGCTACTGCACTACTACTGTATGCGCATCCATCAGCATCGCATGATAAGCTAACTCCATTAGGAGCACGAATATTAAATTTGCCGTGACGTTCATCTTGCCATTCATCTCATGTGATAAACTCGCCGCCGTCGGAAGAAAACACGCGAAACAAGATACGAGCGAAATTCGAATAAACGTCGCGGAGGCTACTCTCGGCCTCGGACTATTTCTCGGCACGTGTAGCAACTATGGAAGCTGTGTAAACTATAGACAATCACGCACATGTGATGAGACACGTGGAATAAACTAACTGTAAACGATACGCAAGTTATACACTCGCGCACATGTGATGAGAACATGGAATAAACTAACTGCAAACGATACGCAAGTTATACACTCTGACACAGGGCCTGTGGCAGAGCGAAGGGCTATAGTTCTAGAGGCCTGTGGCAGAGCGAAGGGCTATAGTTCTACAGGCCTGTGGCAGAGCGAAGGGCTATAGTTCTACAGGCCTGTGGCAGAGCGAAGAGCTATAGTTCTACAGGCCTGTGGCAGAGCGAAGGGCTATAGTTCTACAGGCCTGTGGCAGAGCGAAGGGCGATAGTTCTAGAGGCCTGTGGCAGAGCGAAGGGCTATAGTTCTAGAGGCCTGTGGCAGAGCGAAGGGCTATAGTTCTAGAGGCCTGTGGCAGAGCGAAGGGCTATAGTTCTAGAGGCCTGTGGCAGAGCGAAGGACTATATAGTTCTACAGGCCTGTGGCAGGCGAAGCTATAGTCCTAGATGGCGCTGTGGCAAGAGCGAAGGGCTATAGTTGCACCGGCCTGTGGCCAGAGGCGAAGAGCTATAGATCTAGAGCCTGTGGCAGAACGCGAAGGAACTTAAATCTAGAGCCTGTGAGCAAGAGCGAAGCGACTATAGTTCTAGAAGGCACTGTGCAGAGCCGAAGGCTATAGTTCTACAGCCTGTGGACAGAGCGAAAGGATATAGTTCTAAAGGCCTGTGGCAGAGCGAAGGACTATAGTTCTAGAGGCCTGTGGCAGAGCGAAGGGCTATAGTTCTAGAGCTACTAAATGTGACGAGCTACTGAAGAGCTGCAATATGAGGCGAACAACGGCGATTCACTCATTATGCACTACTGTACGCTGTCTCGATCATGATAGGGCAACGCGATTAGGGGATATTAAATTCCCTCATGAAGTTTATTACGGCCGATCTGATGCAATAATGTTGCCGATGGCAAAAAATCGACGCGCAAGTGAAACGAAACTAGATGATAGGAATTCAAGTGCAAGAATGGCTTGTAGAGACAACGTGTGTGTGTTGGTGTGTCGTGACGTGCCGTGTGTCGCGTGTGCCGTGTGTGTGCGTGCGTCGTGGTGCGTGTGCGTGTGTGTGTGCCGTGCCGTGCGTCTGCGAGCGTGTGTGTGTGTGTGGGTGTGCGTGTGCGGTCGTGTGCGCGTGCGTGTGTGTGTGCGCACGGCGCGAGTGCGTGTGGCGTGTGCGTGGTCGTGGCGTGTGATGTGTCGTGTAGTGTATGTGTATATATATATATAGTTGTGTGTGTGTCGTGGGTGTGTGTGTGTGTGGTGTGTGTGTGCGTGCGTGCTTTGCGCGCTGCCGTGCGTAGTGTGTGTGCGTGTGTGGTGTGTGTGTGTGGTGTGTGTGTTGTGTGTGTGTGAGTGGTGTCAAGCGTAAAAGTCATTTACACATGGTCGCCAGCTCTTACACCAGATATTACATGGCCATAAACACACCAGAGCCAGGAAGTCACACCAAAAATTTCATGAGATCGACGACACACGAAACGCCACGATGAGCCCTCCCCACTATTGCTGCCTGCTAGCTGTGCGCTCGCTGCGCTGGCTGGCTAGCTACGTACTAACTGCTACTAACTACTAACTGAAACTCGACCTGTGCTGGTGCTAGGCTCACACTATACTATGCTCCATGCTGCTGCTGCTATCGGCTCTGCTGGCTGCTGTTTCTCTGCTGCGTGCACTCTCTGCTGCTCGGAAGAGTCGAGCGAAGGAAAATTTAAGAAAAATACGAAAGGGGAATAAGAACCAAAGGATGAAGAAAAAAGAAGAAGAAGAA